GTGGTCCAGAGTTTTGAAATTGACTAGTGTCTAGAAATGTGGCTTGGTCATGCCAACTTTCAAATACTCGTTCTATTATGTTCTATTTTCAAATTGAAGAAACGCCTAGAAAGAGTGGTTGGAAACCGTTGTTTGTTTACAAATATTGGAAAAACTTAAATTGCCAAAGAAACACTTAACATATAAAAAAAGTCAGAAACTTTGTAGCTCCACCTATAAAATCACAGATTTTCTTGTCGCTGCTCTTCAAAAATAGTTCTCAACTTTTGAACTCCGATTGATGTCACAATGCATTGACAACTGATTGGATAAAACAAAGAAGAAAACGACTCCAAAAAAGGACAGTTTTCTATTAAAATATGCAAAGAGACATCATTTACTATTTGTTTCAACGTTGTAGCTATAGAAACACCACATTGATACAGATGTCGTTTCTTACAATAAAGGAAGATAGGACTAAGTAAAACCTTACACCAACCGCCTGACTACAAACACAATATACCAAAATTTTCAAATTACCCAAACTTACACTAAACCCCAAAGCTTTCTTGATTTTTAGAATACGTCCAGACAACATCAATAATGCAATTTCTACAAAAGGACTGTGATGAGTTTAAGACAGCCAACTAACAACAACAACTTACTTTGAAATTGTCAGCAGCCAATGTTCAGAACAAAATGAATATAGCATTGTAAAATACAAACAAAAAATGAAGTCTTTCCTTCACTTTGATCAGAGCATGGTCCAGCCAGGAAATTCATGCCTTGTCAAACTCTGCAACAGAAACTGGATTTATCCTAAGTTGTAGTTCTTTTCACTGATCAGTTTAATACTGAAAGCATCTACTCAACTTTTGGCTGAAATGAATGTACCAGGGCCACCTCTAACACATTCATCTCAGAATCAGGTAGTTCTGAAGGCTGTTATAGCTGCAGTTGTAACTACTTTGATAATTGCTGGCATACTCTTTTATTTCTTTTATAGATACTATATAGCTCGTCAACGGAAGAGAAACAAATTGAACTCTAGTTTTGGTCGAGAAGTTTCTGGTTCTGTGCCTCATCAAGAATTCCAGCAAAGTGGAGCTTTAAAAGGGCTCATAGTAGATGAAAATGGGCTTGATGTTATATATTTGAGAAAATTTGAGGGTAGACAGCTCGGAAGTTGCTTTTCTAAGGTTTGGGTGAATTACATAGATGAGGAGGAAGAGAAGAGGATTGATAGCCGACAAGAGAAACCAGTTTCAAGGGATCATATCCAAGAAATTCCATTACTGCAAAATGCTAGCAATGTAGATGGCTATGAGAAAGAGGCACATACTGCACAACAAACAATCAACTCACTCCCTGCAGCAAGCAGATCTTCACAACATCCATATCCTCAATTTACATCATCCTCATTACAGTTTCCACACAAGGAAATCACTCCTCAATCAGAGACACCCTCTCAACCAGCAGTTCTCTCGAGTCAAAATCCACCTCAGCCACCAAGACCTCCACCACCTCCACCTCCCCTTCCAATGAAAAGAATTATCAAAGCACCAACACCACCTAATTCAGGGAAAATAAAACCTTCTCCACCACCCCCACCAAAGGGGAACGGGTTGCATTCATCATTAAAACCACCTGTTGCACCAAGAGGGAAAGCGAGCAGCCAAGAGAAAGCAGAAGCTTCAACTGATGAGAATTCAAAAGATGATGGTGAAGTTCAAATTAAACTGAGGCCACTGCACTGGGATAAAGTCATTGCTAATACTGATCACTCCATGGTCTGGGATGAAATCAACAACGGTTCTTTCCGGTAAGTTCACCTTGGCATGTCAATCGCATTCCTTTAGAGTAGCTGGTGCCTATTTTCAATTCAACCAAATAGCATCTAAGTTCTTCTGACTGCATTGATATATTCACATTTCAGATTTGAAGATGACCTTATGGAAGTTCTCTTTGGATACAATATCACTTCCCAGAAAACCCCTGAAGGAAATAACACGACCACAAGCTCAGGCACTTCTAAGTTGGCTCGACCAGCGCATAGCTTTATTCTCGATCCTAGGAAGTCACAGAACACAGCAATTGTACTCAAGTCTCTTTCAATCTCTCGCGAAGAAATACTTGATGCCCTCTTGGAGGGTCAAGGACTCAGTGTTGATACCCTTGAAAAACTAACCAAGATTTGCCCAACTGAAGAAGAAACATTAAAAATCCTCCAATTTGACGGTGACCCAAGAAAACTTGCTGATGCCGAGTCTTTTCTCCACCACATGCTGAAAGCTGTTCCTTCTGCTTTTAAGCGTTTCAATGCTATGCTTTTCAGATCAAGCTATGATTCAGAAATTCTAATCCTCAAGGAGAATTTGCAAACAGTTGAGCAGGGTTGTAAAGAATTGAGAACATGTAGAATTTTCTTAAGACTTCTGGAAGCCATTCTTAAGGCTGGCAATCGGATGAATGCAGGAACGGCTAGAGGAAATGCTAAGGGATTCAACCTGGGTGCATTACAAAAACTATCGTATGTAAAAAGCAATGATGGAAAGACTACTCTGCTTCATTTTGTAGTTGAACAAGTCATCCGTTCTGAAGGTAAACGCCGCCTTATCAATAAAGGTAACAAGGTTGACAGTGAAGATTTTGATAGAAAGACGGAAAAACTAGAAAAAGATACAGAGCACCTAATACTAGGTTTGCCAGTTTTGCAAGGATTAAGTTCCGAATTCTCTAATGTAAAGAAAGCAGCTACCATGGACTATGATAGTTTCATCAATACATGTTCCACTCTTACAATGCGGATAAATGAAGTTCGCCAGCTCATAATGTGCTGTGGAAATGCTGAAAGAGATCGATTTGTAAAAGTGACTAAAGGGTTTCTGGAGGAATGTGAAGAGGAACTCAAGGTGATCAGAGAAGAACAAACAAGAGTCATGGAACTTGTGAAGAGAACGACAGAGTATTACCAAGCAGGATCTTCAAAGGACAAAGGCACACAGGGACTTCAGTTGTTTGCCATTGTGAAAGACTTTCTCGTCATGGTTGATAAAGCGTGTGTAGATATCACAAAGAAAGTACAGAAGAAGAACGCATCAAGCATAGAGTCACCACCACCCCAATCAACAACACCAAGAACTCCTGTGAGGTTCCATAACTTGAGAACATACTTTACACCAGAAACATTGAGTAGTGAATCTGAGAATGAGTTCTGATGAAACTTCATTACTCTTATAAGTTCACTGAAAGTAGAGTAGATTGTCAAAAACTATTAATAGTCTTTACATTCTCCACATTTGAATTATCTCATTAACATACTAATCCCCACCCCCACCCCAAATCCCACCCCACCCCAGAAAGAGAATAAACTATTTTATTTCACTGTAACTGGTTATAATGGTACCCACATATTTCCCCATTATCAATTCAGAAAATTTGAGAAACCTGTCATTGAGTAGGTAAATGCACCAATATGTTATACCTTGTGAATCTTGATTATTTACTACTCAACCTTCAACTACCCTCTTTCTCGCGCTGTCTCTGTCACACACACACCCCACCAAAAATCCGGCTACTTGTAGGAGATCATAGACATAAAACACAGTCAAGGGATGAAGAGAAGAAGCAAAGAGAATAAACTGATAACCAAGATGAGGAAAACTTCAGGCAAATTGAATCCCAGACCTCTGAATTACCAACACGTTGACCCAAAGGCTTAGCTAATAATCTCAGAGGAAGCAAACAGATGAAGCAGATATCACCAAATACAACGAAAAGAAAAGCTAATCAAATGCAATTTGTACCTTTATCCACATCATCAACCTCTGATTCAACTGCTAAGCATATAATGAAGCAGATATCACCAAATACAACGAAAAGAAAAGCTAATCAAATGCAATTTGTACTTTTATCCACATCATCAACCTCTGATTCAACTGCTAAGCATATAAACCAAGAAAATTGATCAAGAGGTGAATGTTCCATCAAGGTAGAGGCAATTTAAGCCATGTTGTTCTGGCATTTGGATCAGGTAAAGAGCAATCTGCTCTAAAATGATTCTTCTCAACTTGAGGAATGATTCTTCTGGTGCAGTTTAATACTTCATGTTGTATTATTTCTTATAAAACTACATCCTCTAGCTTTCCGCACATGTTGATGGAGCATCAATTGCCTCACCCTCTCGGGTTCCGCCCATTTATCACCCAGAACATACAAGTCAGAGATAAGGGTATAAACCCATCCATCATTCTCTGGCCTCACCACATTCATGACCATCTCAATCACTCGCTCTGCCATCTCAAACTGTTTATGCAACTTGCAAGATGACAAAAAGGAACCCCAAATAACTATGATAGGCTCGGGTGACATAGTATTGACAACTTCATATGCTTCCCCTAACAACCCAGCCTTCCCAAATAACTCAACCATGCAACCATAATGCTGAATTGTTGGTAGAGATGGCAATGGGGTGGGGCGGGGCGGTTGCGGTGCGGGTGCAGCCTTAACCCGCAAAGACTTCAACCCGCCCCGCATAGCAAAATCTTCTATTTTCAACCCGCCCCGCATAAACCCGCTCCGCCCCGCAAAGAAAAATAACATTTTTAATGAGTAGTTTTTCTTTGATTTTTTTTTCTTTTCTTATATGGCCTTGTTTTCTCTTTTTCTTAGGCGTTAGTGGTCCTAAACGAAAACTTCTAATATACATAAGATGTAAATCGATCACCTTCCCACTGCGATCTTTTCTTGTTCTCCCTTGATCCATTGTATTTTGTATAATGTAGAAACACAGATAATCATTTATACAATAAGCAGCATTTTAGTACGAGGATCACAAACCGAACAAGAGAATTAAAAGAAAATGTTTTGCAAGTTGCAGCTGAAAATCAGAAAAATAGAAGTGACAGGAATGATTGCTTTGTACATACTACAGTCAGAATGAAATCCGCGAGGAAACCCTCCGAAACCCGCAACCGCCCCGCCCCACATTAGATTTTCAGAAAACAGATCCCCGCATAAGATCAAACCCGCCCCGCACCCACACCGCCATCCCTATTTGTTGGTCTCAGTCCACACTCTTTGGTCATTTTGAAATATCCACGACCTTCATTGACCAGCCCTGCTTGTACACAAGCACAAAGTACCCCAGTGAACGTAAACTCATTAGGTAGCACACTCCCTTGTCTCATTTTCTTGAATATCTCCAACGATACAGTTCCAAAACCATGTTTTGCTGCTCCACAAATTAAAGCAGTCCAAGTAACGGCATTTCTATCTTTCATCATATCGAAAACCAGAGAAGCAAAATTCATGAATCCACATTTAGCATACATGTCTACCAAACAAGTACCAAGCTCCACATTAAGTTCCAAGTGATTCTTCACGACCAAACCATGCACTGATTTCCCAAGGAGCAAACCAATTGAACACATTTCAGAACAGCCCGCCAATATTGGCCCAATGGTCACTTGATCAGGCTTTAGTTGTTCGAAAATAACCATTTCTTTGAAGAGCGCCACACCTTCCTCCCAATGCTCATTGTTCATGTATCCAGCAATCATTGCCGACCACGAAGCTAGGTCTCTCAAAGGCATGCGATCGAACATCTTCCTCGCTCCTTTAACATCTCCGGGACGAGAAAAGCAAGATATCATCGAGTTCCACGTGACAGTATTTCTCACGAGAACTTCATCGAACAGCTTGTATGCACAGTCAAATGAGGTTCCAGCATACGCATTAAGCAGAGAGGTGGCGACATACATGTGGATATTAAAGCCCAATTTGAGGAGATGGGCATGGAGGTGGCATATGAGGGGAGGTTGCGCAACTGGGTGCATGATTTAAGAGCAAAGAGAATGTCTTGGCGTTGCATTTGAGCGTAGAGTTACAAGGCACTTTGAGGTGATTTTGCATTTTTAATGGCAAAAGACCACGAATTGATGGTTCTTAATAATTGCCTTGTGGATTGATTTTTAAGTGCAGGTTGTTTTAGGTTGCAGCAGATATTTGTGAGCATAGCATAACTTGTCAATTTTGGAGTTAGGATTCGTGAGGGTTTTAAGTGGGGTGGATTAATTAAGGAAGAAAAGAAGAAAGATTGAAGGGTGTTTAGTGGAGAAGTTGAGACGGTTGTAAAAGGAAAGCGTGAGGGGAAAGAGTTGTTCGTGCATAAAAGCAGTAAGCTGGATGTACATAGCCTTGTTTTTTTCTTGGCGAGGTCTGGACTCATACTTTGTGCAAAATCTGGAAAGAGGAAGAAAACATAAAAATGCTAAACCTTTTTGAGGAAGCGTGCCGTAATTGCTAATCTGGCATTCTGTTCTCATAATTTTCTCCAGCATTGGCAGGTTGACACTTTAAAAGGACCCCATTTATCAGTAAGCAAAGGCTTCAAGCCTTTCTATAACTAGACAATTTTACGTGTCCAGGAACAAACTCTAACTGGACTAGTTGCATATAACATCTTATGCGGTGGCACGGATAATGGTCTGCTTGTTTTTGCACCCCGATATCGCCTTTGCCATCAAAGGGAACTTCCAAAATGAAAGTTGTAGATAAATATAACTACGTACTAAAAACGTTTTTCAATTGCTTCATTCATTTCAATTTACATGTCACCTTTTGTTTATCATAAGTCAATATTTTATTAGATCTACACGTGTCGCTGGTGATTGGTGACATAGCCTTTAAACATCCCCAAACAGATTATGACTGCTTAAAGCCTCATGGAAATGACGCCTTGGATGGTAAAAGTTTCTCACGAGGACCAAAGTCTTGATGATGTATGTATGGGTCCAAATTTGACCGACTACGACCGACGACGAGTACGACGATTGACGGAGCCTCCTTGAATTGACGTCCTAAGAGAGACGATCCTGAGACAAACAGAGACTGGACGACTTTTGTAATAATGTATGGCCATTAGGGGACATTAAGAATATTCCTTCGAATATTCCTTGTATTTTATCTTTTACAGTTTAGAAGAGTTCATCTCTTAGTATAAAAAGAGGACAATAATCTTGTAACGGACATTCCGAACTCTGGAGACATTACTATTTAAAAAGAAACCTCGTGACCTATCCTCTCTTTATCTATCACCCTTTCTAGAAATTATTTTTCTCAACTAAGATTTACCCTTTCTTCTTTGATTGATTTGTTCAAAAGGTTTTAATATCTTTTGAGTCAAACAATTTGGTGCCGTCTGTGGGGATTTCTGTAGCTAAAATCGTAGTTTTCATCTAGATTCTTGAAAGTAATAATCATTTTTCTTCAGCTTCATAAAAGCCAACGATGGCGGGAAAGGGAGAAGCGAGGCTAAATGCAGTAGTGGGTGTCACAAACAACCTCCTAAATTCCCTCAACGAAGCCAGTGGAGAAGACAATGAGAATGCAACGCCAAGTGTTACACCCGAGAGGGAGATCTCACCTCCTCCGTACGGGGATCTAACGACCTTGCGCGAGAGAGAAACCTCAACATCCGCAGCAGGAGAAACGCCACTGGCTATCAAGAGGCTACTAGAAGAATGGTTAACGAGTACCTTGAACAACATGCTCGAGAAACTCATTCAGGGAGGTATCAAAGACGTGTTACCCACAAAAACCGCTGCTGATGCCGATGAGCCAAACGTTACACGAACAGGTAACACCCATACTGTTGCTGATACAGGCAATGATGCACTCACGACCATCTTAAAGAAAATGGAAGAGATGGAAAATAAGAACAAAACACTCCGCGACCAGATGAAGGAACATCAGGAGAGGGTTGATAAAATACCAAGTGTGAGCACGTGATTTTTGCTTCACGAAAACTACTCCAAAAGAAATCAAAAATAAAATAAAATTCTCTTGGTGTACAATTTTTAGGATTTGCGTGACATTTTTGGATAATTATTTGTGTTTTTGTCCGTAAATGTTTACCTTATTGTAGTTAATTGAAAAATACAAACAAAATACATATTGCATACATATTTAGGATTTAATTATGCATTTAGGAACTAATTAAACCATTAATTGGCTCTAAAAGGAAAAGCATAAAAATATGCATTTTATTCTATTTGTTGTCATTGTATGATTTTTTTTAAGGTCTTAGTTTGTGTGCTAATTGTTGTAAGTGTTAATTAATATTTGTATAGTTTTATTTTTGATTTTATAATTTAATTAGGAATTGTGTTTAAATTGTTAATTAAAAGAAGAAAATGAAAAGAGTTAAAAATATAGGGCTAATCAGATCTGGGCCAAAATTTTAGACCCAAAAATCAGGCCCAAACATTCAAAAAACCCGGTCCATTTCAGTTCAACCCCAACATAATTGAAACAATGCCGTTTTAGGTATCTTTGATCAGGACCGTTTATTGCTTTTGATCTAATGGCTCCCAGGTCTTCCTTCATGACCCGACCCACTCCCATATGAGACCGACCCAAACCCCCCTGTTTAAACAAAACGACACCGTGTAGTTTAACCCCCTTGATCTTGGCCGTTGATCTTAATTGATCTAACGGCTAAGATCAAAACAACCCCTCTGTATATAAGGTCAATCCTTACCCCGCACCCCCAAAGCCATACCCCTCCCTTTCCACCTTCGTCTCTGATATTCAGAGACCAGACATGTCTGCCACCTCTAGCCACCGTGCACCGCCTACCAGAAATCGCCTCACGGCGGTTCCGGTTGTCCAAACGACCCCAAAATTACACCATAACTTCCCCACGACATCCTCTTTCCAGATCTGGTATTAGTTTCCCTCGAATCCATACCCAATGTCTCGAATCTTCAATCAAAGAGTCCGTTTGAGACCTCACTTGTTCCGATGACTTCCAAATTAACACCCCTAAGCCATCTGACCACCCTCATTACAGATCCAGTACCCGTTGGCTTCGAATCTTCCTGAAACTCCTCGAATCTTCGTTTGAAGATTCGAGCCAAACATGAACCTACCCCGATCCGTTCCAAATTCATACCAGGTGACCCCCAGACCTCCCTCACCCCTGAACCACCATTGGTTCCCTTCAAATCTGCCTAGAAACGTTCGAACCCTAAATCGAAAAAAATGGAACCCTAGAAATTCCATATCATGGAATCCGTCCAAATTAAGTGAGAATTTGGGGTTTAATCGACCTTAATCGAAGTGTTC